GCTCTAAATTTCATAGTATATACCTTTCCATAGACTAACCTAGACTTAGTCCACTCTTTTTATTTAACATGTTAACAAAATGAATTGAACTCACAAGACAAACAAAATTACCTGACTTGAAGGTCCACTACTTTTTGTAATTACTGACATTTAAACCAATCAAGGTAAACCAAAATATATAGGCATTGGCTGTTTTAATGAGTTCTACCCTCACATTTATTTTTTGAAATGGTCATCATCAATATATGACTGTTTCGAAACCATGGCAGCGTTCTCAAAATGTGTTCAATTAGAGCTGAATTCTAATAAATTCATCAAATTTGGGAAAATGTTTCATATTATAGACATAATAGACAAATTAATTTCTTGGAGGGGCATTAGCTACGAATTTGTCATTTTTTTGTTTTCAACATTTAAAAAAGTGGAATATAGAAATAATACTTTGATACGTAGCAGTCATTTTAGTTCAAATTCAACAAAATAAGCTGATGTATTATAGACTTGCAGTGCAATAATTCAACCTCTTTTGAATCCATACTTTTTGAATGTGTTCAGCATGTGGTTCATTAATCAAAAGAAAAGTTTTGACAACATTGAAAAGTGAAACAAGGAGACACCAGAAATAACAATTTCTTTGGCCTCATCTGGCCCACAAAAAATCAGTCTTATACAGGTAAAACGATGATATACTTTTAATTGAGAACATGATTGAAATCAAGCAGACCTACAAAAATCGTTATTATACTATTGCACATGCATGCTTGACTGTTTGTATTTTTATACGACCGCAAAAAAATTTTTGAGGTCGTATATTAGTATGACGTTGGCGTCGTCGTCGTCGTCGTCTGGCGTCGTCCGGCGTCGTCAAAAGACACATTGGTTTTCGCACTCTAACTTTAGTTTAAGTGAATGGATCTCTATGAAATTTTACCACAAGGTTCAATACCACAAAAGGAAGGTTGGGATTGATTTTGGGGGTTATGGTACCAACAGTAAAGGAATTAGGGGCCAAAACGGGGCCACAAATAAGCATTTTTGTAACTTCCAGACATAACTTGTGTGTTAGTGTATGGATCTTTCTGAAATTGTACTACAAGGTTCCATACCACAAAGGGAAACCTGGAATTGAGTTTGGGGGTAATTGCCGAAACGTTTAGGAATTGGGGGCCAAAAAGGGGCCAAAAATAAGCATTTTTCTAGTTTCCAGACTATAACTTGTGTTCAAGTGTATGGATCTCTCTGAAATTGTACTGCAAGGTACCATACCACAAAGGGAAGGCTGGGATTGATGATGGGGATAATTGCCTCAATATTTTAGGAATTAGGGGCCAAAAGGGGCAAAAAACAAGCATTTTTCTAGTTTCAGGACAATAACTTGTGTGTAAGTGTATGGATCTTTCTGAAATTGTACTACAAGGTTCCATATCACAAAGGGAAAGCTGGGTTTGAGTTTGGGGGTAATTGCCCTAAACTTTTAGGAATTTGGGGCCAAAAAGGGGCCAAAAAACACATTTTTCTAGTTTCCAGACAATAACTTGTGTTCAAGTGTATGGATCTCTCTGAAATTGTACTGCAAGGTACCATACCACAAAGGGAAGGCTGGGATTGATGATGGGGATAATTGCCTCAATATTTTAGGAATTAGGGGCCAAAAGGGGCAAAAAACAAGCATTTTTCTAGTTTCAGGACAATAACTTGTGTGTAAGTGTATGGATCTTTCTGAAATTGTACTACAAGGTTCCATATCACAAAGGGAAAGCTGGGTTTGAGTTTGGGGGTAATTGCCCTAAACTTTTAGGAATTTGGGGCCAAAAAGGGGCCAAAAATAAGCATTTTTCTAGTTTCCAGACAATAACTTGTGTTCAAGTGTATGGATCTCTCTGAAATTGTACTGCAAGGTACCATACCACAAAGGGAAGGCTGGGATTGAGTTTGGGAGTGATGAATCATAAGGGGGTTCAAAAAATTGGGGGGAGGGGGGGGGGGGATTTTTTTTTTTTCCTTTTTTTTCTTTTGTTCCTTTTTTTTTTCTTTTAAAATTTTCCATTTTAAGTTGGTTATTTCTGATTTATATTTAAAAGCAGATAATAATGATATGGTAGGAGATACACACCAAACAGGATGTGTAAATTATTATATAATAAGTATTGTGCAATATCAAGAAATTTTCAATTGCACAGTATTGCACAATAGCAAGAAATCTTCAATTGCACAGTATTGCGCAATAGCAAGAAATCTTCATTTGCACAGTATTGAGCAATAGCAAGAAATATCCAATAGCACAATATTGCGCAATAGCAAGAAATATCCAATAGCACAATATTGCGCAATAGCAAGAAATTGTCTATTGCGCAATAGCAAGAAATATTTAATTGCACAGTATTGTGCAAAAGAAGATACTTCGTATACAGTCAGGGATATAACTCTATAGGGTTATTACAGAAAAATAACATACATTTGTTATTGTGGACTAAAAAATCAAAGAACTGTGATAACATATGTATGTTACATGTTTCAAAGGGACAATATACATCATTAGTTTAGTTAAAATGTATAAAAGTTCTATTGATATTACTTTTGTCTATATATATACTTAACTATTGAAAGATATAACAGTTCATAGTTTGCCAATTTTGCACAGTACACCTATATGTTATTACAGAAAAAATACGCCTGTAATAACTAAAGGGTGTTATCACAGCTTCTCTATATCACTTCAAAGCATTTGCTCAGACATACATCATGCTTAATTACAATGTATTTTAATTTATTGTAAGAAATAATGACCAGAGCATGTAATGAGGTTCTGCGCAAGTTTCTCAGTAATTCCCAAGTGTCTTATATAATAAGTTACATTCCTTTAATAACCTAGCCTTGTTATCACAGCTAAGTTTATCCCTTAATAGCCTTGTCTCATTGATTTACCATGGTTCATCAAAAATGAATTAATTTAATTAAAAAATTAGTTATCAAGGCTATGCATTTAGTTTCTGCGCAAAGTCTCTAGAGTTCCCTAGAGCCCACTATAAAATAAATAATTTTACAAATAACAAACATATGTTATTACAGATTTAGAAAATTTAAGGAATAAAGAGTAGACAACTCATGAAAGTATCTGTAATAACACACGCAAGTTATTTTCTGTAATAACCCTATAGAGTTATATCTTTGACTGGTATAAATTGCTTATTTCTTGACCAATTTCAATGGGGTTTTATTCTTGAATTCTTGGGGTTCTTTAATATGCTGAATCTAACCGTGTATTTAGTTTTTGGATTTTGGGCCCCGTTTTGAAATTGGTCCACATTGAGGTCCAAAGGGTCCAAAATTAAACTTTGTTTGATTTCATCAAAAATTGAATTATTAGGGTTCTTTGATATGCCGAATCTAACCGTGTATTTAGATTCTTAATTTTTGGTTCCGTTTTCAAATTGGTCTACATTAAGGTCCAAAGGGTCCAAAATTAAACTTAGTTTGATTTTAACAAAAATTGAATTCTTAGGGTTCTTTGATATGCTGAATCTAAACATGTATTTAGATTTTTGATTATGGGCCCAGTTTTCAAGTTGGTCCAAATCGGGGTCCAAAATTAAACTTTGTTTGATTTCAACAAAAATTGAATATATGGGGTTCTTTGATATGCTGAATCTAACCATGTATTTAGATTTTTGATTTTTGGGCCCCGTTATCAACTTTGTCCACATTGAGGTCAAAAGGGTCCAAAATTAAACTTTGTTTGATTTCATCAAAAATTGAATTCTTGGGGTTCTTTGATATGCTGAATCTAACCATGTATTAAGATTTTTGATATTGGACCATAATAGGTGAATGTCCAATTTAAAATTTTTAAGTTCTTAGACCACATTCATTCTGTGTCAGAAACCTATGCTGTGTCAAATATTCAATCACAATCCAAATGCAAAGCTGTATCAAGCTTGAATGTTGTGTCCATACTTGCCCCAACTGTTCAGGGTTCGACCTCTGCGGTCGTATCAAGCTGCGCCCTGCGGAGCATTTTATTATAATATCTGGTTATATGACAGTCGGCAGTCTTCGAAAGTCATCTCAATGGATAATTAGATGCTGTCTAGTGTAAAATTTGCCCGAAATGCAGATACATTATACCAATTCTATGCAGTTGTTAATTATTTCTTTTAGAATTTTTGTAATTTGAATATAGGTTTTAGTATGTAATGTTATCAAATATGAGAATTTGGGTCAAATCGGGGAACATGAATTTGACAGGTTATGCTCATGTAAGGAAATTGAGGCATATGCTCCCAGTATGACTGTGTATTGTCACTGACATCAGATATGATTTTAAAGTTTATAATCAATTTAAATATTCATCAACTATGACAATAAAATGAAATCATTCAAAGATTATTTGATGTTAATCATGTTAATGGACAGTTTTGATATCAAAAGATCCATTTCATCATTCATGTCATAAAAAGTTCAGTTTTACAAGCTAAAATTTAATCTGTGCGACAATATCTTACAAGAAAACCTTAAAGTTAGCAATAGTTTTGTTTTATAGCAGATCAGGTTGTAGAAATTTTCCCGTTAAACCAAGAAGATACATTAAAGTATGGATGAAACTGTGAATAATAAATTCTGCGAGAACGTGTATAGTCTCCAGCTGCAGAAATGTATTGATGGATAACTGTAAATAGACCAAAAGTTCTACCTAAACGGCTTATAACTGTAAATAGACCAAAAGTTCTACCTAAAAGGTTAATAACTTTAAATAGACCAAAAGGTCTACCTAAACGACTTATAACTGTAAATAGACCAAAAGGTCTATCTAAACGGCTTGTAACTGTAAATAAACCAAAAGTTCTTCCTAAACGGCTTAGAGAACATTTTTCTATAGATTTGAAACACCTTTATGTAAAGTTTCACTTATGATATAACAAATATGCCACCTTTTATATTTAGAAACAAGGGCCAAATTTACTGACCATACTGAATGTTTTATAAATTGCTTTGTGTTATAGGTAAAGTAAAGGTACAGAGTCCTACAGTTGATTCAGTTACAAGTCCAAGTAATTCAAAAAAGGTAAGAAAAGACTAAAAAATACTGAAAGGTAGACAAACATTATTTAAGGTAGTTGCAGACATTGTAATACATGTAATACTGAGCAGTCAACTGAAAAAGTATAGGGCCGTCATCATGGATTTCTTAGTTTTGTATTAAGTTAGGATCAAATCAATTTCAAAGAATCAAACATGAAGACAAATTTATATTATTTCCTTGGAAATGCAGTTGCTTCCGAAACCAAAATCACAAGCATTAATTACATGCGTGCGGAAACTTCACAGAATGGTTGGGCAAGCGAACCACAATTTTAATTGATTTCAGTTTGATCATGGTTTGATTGCAGGTTGATCACAGTTTGATTGAAGATTGGGGATCTAAATACAAACAAGACGATTTCAGTTTTATTGCAGGTTGATCATTATTTGCTCTAATTGTTGTATGTTGAATTACTCTGTATAATTATATTCTACAAGCTGTCTGCAATTGAATTACAAGTACATGTACATCTGAAAATGAGTAAAAATAAACTTGGCAATGGTGCATGCAAATTAATTCATTAATGCTAATTTTGAAACCAAATTTGATAGAAAAAAAAATCATAAGTGTTTTGAGTTGTTGTACAATGTTTTTCCTATACATGCTCGATTAAAGAGTGCCCTAGACTACAGATCAAAATTGTCTATGGGCTTTTTGCACTTGATTTTGTTTAAAAAGACATATAAACAGCTGTTATACAACATGGTTTACTCTCTACTGGTATTTAGTCTTCCTTTGTTCAAATGGTTACTGATCAGAAGACGCTGTAACGGTCTAACAAACATACATGTATCACCAGTCTACCATCATCCATCATTACTACATCTGATATAACTCTTCCCAAACATGTATTCAGTACTAGACAAAGATCAATCTATAGATAAAAGGTATCAAGTCCAAGTTTGTATGGATTATTTCTCTCACAAAAGACAATGAAATAAAGGAACAAAACTTTTGCATTGAATAACTACATGAGGAATTGTTTTATTTCTGCCACACAAAGTAATGACATTTAAGTCGAAATCAGTAGATTATTTTTAAGTATTAGGCACAGACAAATAATTTATGCAATGCTATAAGTGTTAATTTGTTACATATATAGCTTTATGTGGGAGCTATTTAGGGAAAACCATGATTTAGTGAAGGTTGTGTGTTGTTATTTACATCCTTGTCCCGAAGCATTTGGTAAATAGCTGTCTCATTGGCAATCATACCACATTTCCTGTTTTTATATAAAAGATTAGAAATCTTCTTTTATACCTAGATCACTAAGATCACAATGTGTCAAGTTTAACCAGTTGATCACCAACTTGATCTTTTTGCAATCAATCCTTTTTGATCACAATAAAGTCCATATGACATACAGCATTACTGTCTTTTGTACACTGTGTACTCGTGTTTTTTTCTAATGTTAGCATTTAGGTAGAAGTCTGCTTTTTCAATAAGGCCAAAAACAGCTCCCGTTTCTTTCTCAAGGTGGCTGTCAGAACACTGCTGACATCATACATAACATAACCAGTTTTTTAAATACATTTCAGTTAAAACATGTTATGCAATTCATGTAATAACTTCATGCACTCATTAGCTAGCTTAGATTTGCATGCAGAAGTTCCACAATCATCTTTTAGCTTGCAGCAAGCATCTTGGAATTGATTTTTTTGCAGCATGCTTGTCACAAGCTTGTAATGAGCATAATGAAAATTTTGCATGCATGCACCAAGCATCTTGCAATACAAACTTCAGATGTTTGGATGCAGCATGCTTACCAAAAGCTTGTGAAAAGCATACTGCAAATATGCAGATTGCAGTAGGGGATTTTGTATGCCCCCGCTAAAGTGGAGGGGACATAAAGTGTTATCCTTGTCCATCTGTACGTAAGTTTATGTAAGTCCCGAAATTTGTTTCTGTTGTCTCACCTTAGTTTGCCTCAACCAGATATTATGAAACTTATACACAATGCTTCGTTATTACCACAAAACACAGATCAAGTTCGAATTTTGGTGGCAAAGTCACTTTTACCGTTCAAGACAAAATGACCCAAATATCATTAACGATGTAATATGAGTTACGCAAACGTCTTGTTTGTAAATATGATACTACGTGCAACTTGGCAACTTTTCCTGGTGAATGTTGAATATTCATGTAAACATTAGTGCATTAAGTTGAGATATGTTCTTATGATTTACTGATTACACGTTTATAGAAATTACATTACACGTGTTTTTTGTGATTTACAGTACACATTATACCATAAACAATAAAAGTACAAGGAATACAATGTGTTTATTGCAAATTTATGGTTCAGGATGTATCCAAAATATTATCAAATACTTTAAATAGACGTTTAGGCCACACCTAAAAAAATGGTTAAATAACTACATACTGTTCCCTATTGGATTTTCTACACTAGAAAATATTCATTTGTTTAAAAAAATATTAGACATTTCGGCCACACCTGAAAAATGATTAAATTACCATGATACTGTATAATGTGTTCCCTATTGGAATTTCTACACCAGAAAATACTCATTTGTTCAAAAAATTTTAGACGTTTTGGCCACACCTAAAAACTGGTAAAATTACTAGGATACTGTATAATGTGTTCAATATTGGAATTTCTACACCAGAAAATACTCATTTGTTCAAAAAATATTTTTGTCAGGACAAAAAGCCTCATGTTTGCTGATGATGTGGTGCTAAACTTCAGTCAAACAATGAATGATTTATTGTGAATTCATATTAACCAAGTATGGAATACTATAATCTATTTAGGATTTTGTTGGCATTGAGGGTTAACCATGAATTCGAGTGGTCAATAAAATGATTTGATGTTTATAGGCTTAATTTTGTATGGAGAATTTGTTATACCTCGAAATCAACTATCTAGAAAAGTACATGATTTCCTCAATCCATGAAAAATGGTTACTCATGAATAAATGAATACACACTGTTTTGATTTACCATACACACTAATTACAACAAAGTAGAGTAATTGTATCACATGGTTTCTGTAGGAAAATGTCTGTGTGAAGCAAAGAAAGTGACCCATACTTATTGTTCTGATTCTGAAGTGTGTTAAGTATTATCTAGGTTTTGCCAGTGACTTTATTAAAACAAATACTAGCTGCAGTGTATATCAATATTGTTGTAGAAGATACGTATGTTTTACATCATAATTACTGTAAACACTTTCATTCCTATTGGACCAGTTGTTCAGAAACATGGGCCTGAATCCTCTTTAAGTCAACACATGATATGGTATGTGGGATTTGGTATGTTAAATCCAAGGCATTGCCATGTCATGTGAGATTTGGTATGTTAAATCCAAGGCATGTTTTAAGTTAGGAAATGAATCCTCTTAGTCAATGCCATAACCACATCATGTGAGACTTGGTATGTTAAATTCAAGGCATGTTTTCAGTTAGGAAATGAATCCTCTTAGTCAATGCCATCATACCTGTCAACTGACCCGGATCCTACGGGTGTGACCCGAGATTTTCACAATTCTCAGGGGTCACCCGGAACACCTGCCGGGTGACGAAATAACCCGGGAATTCGGAAAATAACCTGTTTTCACCCGGATTCCTTAGCCTTCAGACTGATTAGATATAAAGTGATTTCAATGAAATCTGGGACTATTATATATATACTAGTATAATAGTCCCAGATGAAATACCGGCAATTTAATTCGTAATTCTTCCTGGACAAGAAGTTCAACTAGCTGTGTAAACTCAGCTCAATTGACCCATTTCAGTGCATGGCTTCACTTGACAGCTTTGGTGTCAAACACACTGTTAATTAACACCAATCACCTTAGCTTTAGGTTGTAAATAATTTGTGTATTTCAAAGTTGTTTTAAAAACAATTTGAGTTACTTCCCCTTTTTTGTCAATTCACAAGATACTCCTTAAACTTATGTTTTTTTTGTAAAAAGATTAAATCTAAAATGAATTGAATGCACAAACATATCAGAATAATACTTTTACTTATTGTTCTACCTTAGAACAATTAAAAAATAAAAATTTAGAAAATTACTTTTTTCATCTATACTTCCTTGAATTGTTTAACTTTATTTTATTATACTCTAATATCGACATATTTTATGGTCCACTGTTTAAAAGCTGCACAAATGTATGTAAAGAAAACACAAATTGGCACATTGTATGTCATGGAATGAATATGAACAGGAATTAAGGCAATGAAACACAAATCTATCAATGGCCTCCAGGTGCAATGAAATAATAATATGTACAATTTTAAATTACTTAACCAGGTGGACATGTTTTGGAAACTTAAATATATAATTTATAAGAAAAATGTCCCCTAAATACTGAAATTCAGCTCGAAAAAGTTCGTACGTGTTATGACCTGAGATTTCATTCTTCTATGCAGGTCATCACCTGCATTTTCATTGTCATAGGTTGACAGGTATGGTCATCGCCATAACCACATCATGTGAGACTTGGTATGTTAAATCCAAGTCATGTTTTAAGTTAGGAAATGAATCCTCTTAGTTAATGCCATTGCCACGTCATGTGAGATTTGGTATGTTAAATCCAAGGCATGTTTATTTGGGGAATGACATGACCTCTGTACCAAAACTCATTATAAACAAATCTTTGAAGGGATTGATAGGTTACCTTATGTGGAGCCTAATTAGTTTCTTATTTTATCCAATAGGCCCCACAGTTGTAGACACAAGTTATTAATAGCAAATAATCAAAGTCATCCAAGAAATTGTATTTTTGTCGAGCCTTCGACTTTTGTCGAAAAAGCGAGACATAGCGATCCTACATTCCGTCGGCGTCGTCGTAGTCGTCGGCGGCGTCCACAAATATTCACTCTGTGGTTAAAGTTTTTGAAATTTTAATAACTTTCTTAAACTATCCTGAATTTCTACCAAACTTGGACAGAAGCTTGTTTATGATCATAAGATAATATTCAAAAGTAAATTTTGTAAAAAAAAAATTCCATTTTTTCTG